TAGAGTTCTTATTGGTCTGTATCTGATAGTCATATCTAGACAACGTGCTTCAAATTTGAACATAAAAGTTGCATTTGCATTATTTTTGGTAAGTATATGTGCCCTGCTACTATTGGGGCTCATTCAAAATGTTGTATATAGGGTTGTGTTTAATCATCACTCTTATCTGAAAAACATCTAAAATTTAACACTTGTAACGCTACTCTTTCAGCCTTCACATATAAGAAATCACATCATGCACGTGATTACACTCGTACTTGGGTTTCTATTCGATGGCCAACTGCGTCGGTGGCACAGCGGTTAGGACACTTCCCGACCATGCACATGGTCTGGGGTTCGATCCCCTGCCGACGCACACCTGATATCAATTGATCGGCCTGCAAAATTTGGGCTACCGATATCACATGCTGAAAATTCCATACTTGTACAAAAAATACTATATGGAGTCAAGTTATAATCAAAAAAGAAATAATTATAATTAAAAAAATAAAGTGTTCCTCTGATTATGAAAATTAAAGCGTTGCTGGGGGGAAAACATCTCATTTTATAAGAATTATCCATAAAATTAAGAATGTGATTCTGTGATCAGCTATCAAGAGATTTAATTCGTAAATGATTTTTTATAAAAAAAATACAGTACTGAAACTCTTGTATTGTGAGAGCTGTGATTATTTTTGGGCTTCGATGCTAAATTATATCATCAGTGAAACGCATACACCTTATCCTAATGTGACCATAGAAGTCTAGCTATTAGTATAAATTTACGGTTGATACATGTACTTTTTTAAAATGTTATTTATAATAATACTTATTTGAATAACATTCACATTGTGGAAGGTTAAAAAGATGACTTTTTTTAGTGTAACAATGGGAAAATTGAACATGTAGACAACTTTAGATGCACTTAGGCGGTATATGTATAATTTAATTTAACCTTACTGTAATAAAATCCTTAGCTTGAAATTATCTGAAAATATTATTACTAGTATTCTCTTAGGTTTAGAGTGAAACATAGAGATTTAAGAGCATATCGCCATTTCGTCCTGTTCTCCAGGACGGTCTTTAGCTAACGCATTGACTGGTAACAAGCTTTCATTTCCTTCTCATCCTCACACTCCCAACTCTTCACTTACCATTTAGGTTCCGCTAGAAGACCTTCCGCGATATGTCACTCAACCGTCTCCTCAAAGTACGTCCAATCCATCTCTATTTCCTTCCGCATATTTGTTGAACAATAAATTCTTGGTTGGTTCATTGTCTGAGTCTCCTGTTGTTTATTCTTTCTGGACATCTGATCTTCAGTACGGAGTGATTAAAAGTCTGCTACAGGCTGTTTGAAATGCCTTCCGTTACGTACCAAGTTTCTGACCCATAGAGAAGAAATAACTGACTTTACATTTCAGTTGAAAATCTGAATCTTGTTCTTGATGTTGAGGAGTGTAAAAAGCTCTCCAAACTGATTTCAGAACAGTGAAGGTCTCTCTTGTTTCTCCAATTCCGCCCTTGATATCTTCATCTGTTCTACGTGTAGGTGAAATGATGCTTCCTAGATAAGTGAAAGAATTGGTCTCTTTCAAATTTCTTCTATTGATGATAGGGATTTGTATTTATTGTTGCTGTTGGTTGCGCATCTTCATTGCCTCTTTCTTCTCTATGTTCACGTGAAGTCCAATCTCCTCCACCTACTTTCACCAAGAACTTATTGATTTTCTATAGTTTGGTTTGCAAGGGTTAGTTTTATTTTTACGAGTTGGTCACAGATTGATATCAACAAGAGAACCATTAAAAACCAGAGAGTACTGGACAGCTGTTTCATCCTAGTTTGGGAGTTATCGACAGCACGGACCCACCTTCACGGGTCGAACCCATGACCTTCCGATTACAAGGCAAGCTCATATAACATTCAACCACTGGGAATCGATTCAATGGCCAACCCATGAATTCCAACTTCTACCAATTCGTGATTTAGCCCGACCCCAACGATTGTCGTAGGCGGGATATCCATCTTTTTTGATGAAATTTTGTGGATATTCATTCTTTTTGAAGACCGTTTGCAGGTATTTTTCTTCTATTCTTTTCAACTCTGGAGTGCTACAGTGTGTTTGAATTTCTTTTCAACAATGTCTGCACACAGTTTCTTTTGCGGCAACTGGATCATTGCTAGTATAGTTGAGTATTTAATCTGTGTACGTTGATTTTCTATATACTTGTGTTTCTAAATTTCCTGTGTTGGTTCTTCTGATTAAGACATCTAAAAATCGGATTTTATTGTCTAATTCTTCTTCTCATGTGAATCTGATGTCTTCAAATATGTTGTTTATTAATTTATGGGTATATTCTAAATCATTTCGCTTAATTATTACAAATGTATCATCAACGTAACGTACTTGTCCAGATTTTCGGTTTAATTATAGGTAGAGCTATTAATTCTAATCTTTACATGACGGCTTCAGCTATTAATCCTGATGCAGGCGGTCTCATTGGTCTTCCTCCTATCTGTTCATATATTTGAGTATTGAATTGGAAGTATGCTGTAAGGCATAATCTTATGAGTTCTATCCAAGTTGAACATCACTGCGTTCTTATGTTTTCATCGCTATAGAGTAATTGTTGTATAGTTTTTTTTGTTGCTAGTTTTGGACTAATTGAAGTATATAATGCTGTGACTTAGTTAGAAAATTATGGACAGGCGAAGGTGAAACAACTGCTGAATAACAGGAGGAGGCAAGACAACACTCCACAAGCACCTCCTCTTACTTATCTTACTCATAGATTCTTTTAACCTTTCATTATGTTTTCGATTTGTCTAACCATTTAACAGTCAACTGATTCACTTAGTATCATTATCACCATGAATTGGAGGTGAGTGATTTTCTCAGACAGGATCAAAAGTGAACATTTAGAAAAATTATAGTCGAAGTTTAATTGTCATATTACCTCATCATTGACTCCACATAGATTTTTTTCACCCCATAAAAATATTTTCTTCTTCTATTCCTTGAGTTCCAAGTGGGACATATGACTTCAGGCTTCTTCTAAAGTTTCATTAGAGTTAATGGGGTAGTTAACCTCACTCCTGACCTTCATACTTCTTCATGTTTTCCACCGACTGGACAAGTTTTAGTGGTGTGTCGGCACGGAATCGAGCTCGAAGCTCCTGCATGGTTGGTGAGCATCCTACCAGTGAACCCCTGACGCATATCTTTGAAATGTCTCCCTTCTATTTACTGCATGAATGAAATGAAAATTCTAACTATTCTTTTTATCTAGAATGATATTCTTAGAAAGTCAAGGGGATGCAAAGTATAATATTAAAAGATATTATGGTTAACTTTTAAATTCATATATTATTGAAGTTATTGCTTTGTATGTTGACTAAGAGGACACTATTCAAAGCTTCACAGCAGTTAAACCACCCAACTCAGAGAACACAACCACACCAAAAAGTCTACTTTATTTGTCTCACTCGCTCAACTATTTTACTATCTGAATTCATGAGAAATCACATTTTATTTTAAACAAAAAATGATTCTGAATCCTAAAAATTATTACATTCATTTGCAGATGAAAGTATTTGGCAACAGTGCAGTAAACTGGATGATTAAAAGATCAACATCTTCACAGTACTTGTTCACTAAATGCAATACTTCTTAATAATCTACCTTATGAAGACCATTTTAGTTCAACGCTGCACTATTTATGATATATTTTAACCCCATATATATATATATATATATATTATTACATCACATTATTACACATGTACTCAGCCATACTGCAACCACACTTGAAAATACAAAAGGGATTAGTTTACAGAATTGTACAATTAATATTTTTTCCATTTATCAAGATGAAAATTATATCTTCGAATTATTTCTCTTCATAAATTTATGTTTTTACGAGGTGATCACGGATTGATATCAGTTAGAGAACCATTGAACACTGCGGAGCACTGAACAGCTGTTTCATTCTAGCTCTTTGGGAGTCATCGGCAGTACACACCAACTGGGGTTCGAACCCAGGACCTTCCGGTTACATGTCAACCTCGTATACCATTCAGCCACTGGAACCTGGTTCACTGGTCAGTTCATGAATCCTAACTTCTACCAATTTACGCTTTTTGTTCTCAGTAGCGTCAGTTTTTTCCTTCACGTTCCCCAGTGGAACATAGGACCTCAAACTAGTGGCTTGAAGTTTCTGTAGCAATGTTTAATTTTACAGGATGGAGTTGCTAGCCTCATGCCCAACCTTTCCTCTTTACCTGCATTATTTTTGGCTTAGCGAGGTCGGGGATCAAAACCTGGACCATGCGTATGGTCGGCGAGCGTCCTATCCGCTATGCCACCAACGCACTTAATTGTAACGTCAGTAATCATTATTATTTGTTTTTCTCTTTTGCGTTCCAAGTGGAACATAGGGCTTCAAGTTTCAGCTTTGAAGTTCCAGTAGCAGTGGTGTTTCTTCTGGGTGAGGTTTCTAACCTAGAGCTCAACATTCCCTCTTTACCGCCCATACTACTGGCAAAGCGACGTGTAGGTATGCATCCTCAACTACGCGAGTGGCTGGCGAGTATTTTTCCGCTTAACCATCGAAGTAAAATCAGCAATTATAGCAAGCTTTAAAGGCTTGGCTTTATCTTATTTTCATTTAAGTATATCCTCTTCACTCCTGAAAAACATGAATTTTCTTCTTCAGTTCAACGATTTTATTGATAGGAACAACATAAGATCACCCTATATATGAATGTGAACGCTGCAAAACTGAGAACACTTTCTGCATAACATGTAATAATTTAGCTTATACCATTAGTTATCTGTCATAATACTTATGAAGAATATCCTAACTAGTCGAGAAAGTTCATTTACAACTGCCCTACAGATATTAATTTCAGAAGTCTGTTTTGTTAATCTCTTTCTGTTTAGCTCGTGTTTTATAGTTTTTTTTATGATTTTCTAATAAATACATTCCTTAGAAAAAGAATTTTTTTATCACTTATTTAGTTAAAACAGGTTATAGTTTAATCGTTGCAAACGCTCAACACCAATCTGGATCTCAGTTAATTGGACCAAGAATTTATGGATTTGGTCCTAAATCTCAATGTCAAACTGTTTTTGATATAAAAAATGAATACTTAAATCAATATCAACAACAACAGCAACAACAACAAACAGACCATCAGAATTTGCCTAAACACACTAAACAAACAAGAATTAATGAAAGCGATACTATTACTGGTGGTTGGCGGTCAAATTCAAATTCAAAATTATGGTTCGGTGAAAATGTTCAATTTCTTTCAGTGAATCATATTAACTCCAAGCATTTCTATGTAATATTCACTGAACAAGATATAAGTCCACCTTATACTGCTTATGAAGGCTCAGTGAGTATGAATGATAATTTTAATTCTATTTATTGTACATTATTATTTTAACAATATTAGTAATTCATATGCATAAGTTAAATAAATGAATTATTATTATTATTATTATGTTAACAGTGCTGTTATGCTTCATTTCAGCTGGTCAATAGGCAACAATATTAAGATGGTTTCTAATAGTCAACATACAATGTTCTACACTAACTTTTCATGTTTTGGGAATTGACGAGAGGAAAAATAAAACTAGAGCTAAACACACATCAGTGTATAAATAATACATTGGCAAAGGCGAAAGAACATCAATTTCTTCTTTTCATTTTCTCGAGGAAACACACTCCTTCTCTATACACTGAACAACAAATAGATGCTTAGCTTCGTTTAGCCTTCTTTATTAATGGAGATTACAACCACTGGATAAAAGTATTGATCGGTTTTGTTAAAAAAAATATCATTATTTGGGATAGAAGAATGTTCGCAGAATAATCAGGTAGGCCACCTACAACGCGCCCAACAATACCAACAACGGAAGCAGAACTACCAGTGAACATCGACACCCCGAAGACAACAGAAGTCCTGAAGGCAATCAAGATGCTAAAAGCTGGAAAAGCATCAGGACCACATGGAATCCCAGCAGAAGTATTGAAAATGGACTCAGAGACAACAGCGGGCTTGATGACGCCATTACTGCAGAAAGTGTGGAAAGAGAGCAAAGTACCTGACGATTGCAAGAAAGGATACTTATTCAAAATACCAAAGAAAGATGACTTAAGTCAATCCAAAAACTGGTGTGGAATTATGCTCCTGTCCATTCCAAGCAAAATACTAAGCCACATCATTCTGGAGAGAATCAAACACGCCAATCTGGATGAAAAACTTAGACTGGAACAGGCTGGATTCAGGAGAAACAAATCATGTATTGATCAAATCGCCACTCTACGAATCATCATTGAACAAAGCTTGGAATGACAGTCACCTCTCCACCTCACTCAACTTCATCGACTTTGGAATGGCCTTCAGCTGACAGTGTCGATCGAGAGGTCATCTGGCATCCACTTCGCTACTACGGGGTTCCATCGACAATTATACATCTCATCCAAACAGTTGTACGACAATGCTGCATGCCAAGGTATCCACATCAGGGAACTTACGGAATCCTTCGAAGTGAGGACGGGAGTAAGGCAAGGCTGTCTACTATAGCCAATGATTTTCCTGATTGTAGTAGATTGGATAATGCGACAGACAGCGGCGGGTAACAAGGAGGCAGGCATAAAATGGACTCACACAAAGCACTTGGGGGATCTGGACTTCACCGATGATATATGTCTGATTTCCCACAAACTGTAAGATATGCAAGTGAAAAGCAACAAGTTGGAAGAAGAAGCATCCAGAGAAGATAGGACTTCAGGTGAACGTAGAGAAAACAGAGGTGATGAAGATTCCTGGCCAACAGCAGCAGCAATAACAACAACAGACAAGAATCAGCCAGCATAAATGGGAGGAACCTGAAAGAGACAACCTCCTTTACCTACTTACCTCGAAAGCATCATTTCAACTACAGGCGGAACTGACGGGGATGTCAAAGCAAGAGTCTGAAAAGCAAGATAAGCTTTCGTTTCTCTCAGGTTTGTGTGGAGGTCAACAGCACTCAGAATCAAAAATATCATCCGTATTTTCAACTCCAATGTCAAGTCAGTGCTGCTCACTATGCGGATCAGAGACTTGGCTCATCATGAAGAGCACCTCAAACAAACTACAGACCTTCATCAACAGCTGTCTTTGCTCAGTACTAAAGATCAGATGACTGGCCAGAAACGATCAGCAACAGAAATCTCTGGCATTGAGCGAACCAACAGGAACCGATTGTGAAACATATGGGCAGGAAGAAGTGGAGATAGATTGGCCATACTCTGAGGAAGCCATCAAGTGGCATCACAAGCCAGGCCATCACTCGAATGGAACCCAAAAGGGAAGTGGCGAGTTGGTCGTCAGTGCAAGGGTGACTTGGAGGAGGTGATGTGAAGAGAAGATGAAAGCATGTGGGCAGACTTGGAGCCAGATGATAACTGTAGAAGAGAAGCGAACGCAATGGAGACGTCCTATGTTCCTTTAGGAATTAAAGGAAATCATAATAATAATCAGGTAAGTGAAGTATTTCGATAGTTTAGTCTACACCATAGCTAGTTGCATAGGTTTTTCTGTTAGCTCATTAATTCTTTTCACTTGTCGATTCATTTTACACAGTAGCTTAGTGTTTACACTTAATGCATGCAACTGTTAAACATATTGTCTAATTTACTATGAATCAACTGGTCTCATTTTCTTTAAAATTTCATCTGTGATAGGAGGGTTTTTGCACAATACGATCGCTAGTTGCACGTGGCACACTCCCTCTTTCTTGCGTTTAGCACATTAGATATACTTTGTCATTGGACACTAGTTAGTAACTATTGTAATGTGTGTGCCTAGTCCTATCTTTGGTGTAGACTGAATTCTATCAGTAAAGTTTGCAATGTGGTCAGCATGCTAGTCGATTCGCCATCACGGTGCACTGTGAATTGTTAGTATTAGATGGTTGGAGGCAATAGGCTGACTAGCGTCCAATAAAAAATATATCCAACACAGTCCTACAGGAGGTCAATCGCAAGCCTGAACAGCTCACTGGTAACGTCTCTGACTAAATCAATGGGTGAAGCAGGTTCGAATCTCAGAAGGGGAAAATGAATTCCTTCAATGGTGCAGATATGCCTTGCTGACTGGTGAGTGCCAACTAGCACAAAACCGAGGTCGAAGCTTGCCGCCGACTGCCTCCAACCATCTAATAGCAACATTAGACCTATGTTGAGGAAACCTTTAGGTGACGTTACACGCCAAGCCCACAAATGAAACCCGAATACAAAAAGATGAGTTGAAGGACATCACATGAAGAGGAAGCGGGAGCTTGTGGACCGTCGTTAAGCAAGTTGAAAGTGGTGACAGTAAAATAGTGTCAAAATATGCTCCTAAAGCCCTCATATTCCATTTGGAATACAAGCGACAATACCTGAATCCAAAGCAAAACCTGTATTATTATTATTATACCTTTTTATTCCTAGAGGAACATAGGGCTTCAGTCACGCGTCTCCATTGCATTCGATTTTCTGACAAATTTTTCACTCCGCTCCAAGTCTGCCCACACGCTTTCATCTTCTCTTCACATCAACTCCTCCAAGTCACCTTTGCACTGACTACCAACTCGCCACTTCCCTTTCGAGTTCCAATCGAGCAATCACTTGTCTAGTGATGTCACTTGATGGCTTCCTCAGAGTATGGCCAATCCATCTCCATTTCTCCCTGCCTATTTGTTCCACAATCGGTTCCTGGTTGGTTCGCTCATTGCCAGAGATTTCTGTTGCTGATCGTTTCTGGCCAGTCATCTGATCTTTAGTACTGAGCAAAGACAGCTGTTGATAAAGGTCTGTAGTTTGATTGAGATGCTCTTCATGATGAGCCAAGTCTCTGATCCGCATAGTGAACAGCACTGACTTCACATTGGAGTTGAAAATCCAGATGTTATTTGTGATGCTGAGTGCTGTTGGATCCGGAATATTGCCTAAGTTTCTGCCTTTGCAATTAAAAGTCATAATATTCCATGTAAAATATGTTTCTCTTTATGGTTACTAAAGTAGTTTTTGGAGAAGTTTAGTCACAAAGTGATATCATTTGAAGAACTGGTGATATTTCCTTCTTATTTTGAGAACATCAACCCCATATATATGTATATATATATATATATATATACTTGCAGGTGATAAGAAAACCTGGACAATCCCTTGCGGCTGACGAGTTTTTATCTACAAAGAAAATACAATACAAACGGAATGAGACTGTTCCTACGGTGATTTCGTATGTCAACGAATACTTAAAAATTCAACAACATAAAAAAGCACAAAACACTCAAAAGCATTATAAAAAAGAATAATAAAGGGAAGATATTCATTCAGACCTTTAGAAGACAAAAGAAAATTTCAGCAGAGAATATTCTTTTCGATTATTTCCTCTTCCGGCACTACAATTATAGACATTATATTAGCACTCTCCATTGATACGTTAGTTATGTCCACTATACTCGCATATTCATAAAACACACATAAGAAAACTGACTGTTATTGTCTATTGTAATATATATATATATATATATGCTACTGTACAGCTATGCAAATTTATAGTAATTTATAATAAGCATAGAAATGTAATAGTAAATAGAATACCAACTATAATTGAGGAAATTTCTACGACACATTAGGGATCATTAAAACCTTGATAGTTAAGGTAAGGAAAGCGCCTAAACCAATTTCTTTTGGTATATAAATGAGACTTCTTAATGCGGATTCCAACAGCCTTCCAATAGCAGTATTTAATAGATGAAACCTTGAGGTAAATTTAAGATTATTTAGTATACGGTAGATGACTTTGAAGGCGTCATTAACATCAATATGTGTCGTGTATCTACTCAATGATACACTATAAAACTATGAATGAACTTTGTTTGTCCCTCAGTTAACGACGCAGGATGGTGTTCAGAAATCGGACTGATCAACATACCTATTTGTACAGCCTATGTAACTGGCTCCACAAGAGCAGTCAAATTGATAGATACATATAGAAGTGGCAGAATTAAGCAGCTTATCTTTATCTTCCGAATACGAAATAGGAGTGGTTTTTGTAGCGACAGCATACTTCTACAGCACTGAGTGCTGTTTTTATCGCATTCCTTAGGCCTTGTGTGAATATCTCACTGATTTTATCCTCGAGGCCTTTTTTAGAACTGTTGGTACCTTGGGCTGTCATGACTTTTGATTCATTCTCTTATCGATGAAATGTCCTGGGTAACCGTTCTTACTCATCAACTGTTTAATAGTACTAAGCTCTTCATTAAGACATTCATTAGAGCAGACTGCTCTTGCTCTATGTACCAAGCACTTTATTAAGCTGAGTTTGTATTTCGAAGGCCCGAATCTGAAAAA